ACCACGAACTTGAGCGGGGGCAGCGGGCCGGGCCCCCCCGCGCAGACGCTGAGCAGTACCAGCCCGTTGCAGAGCAGGGACAGCAGGACGATGGCCCACACGGCCAGGCGGACGCCCCAGCTCTCAAAGAGGTGCTCGCAGGGCTTGAACGGGCCTGTGGAGAGAGGGCCAGGGCCGCTGGACTCTGGTCCTGGGGACGGGGCCAGGGTGCCTGACCTGGCCTTGGGAACCCCTGTGGGGGTTGGTGGTTACACACAGAATAGAAGCACATAATAAGCCCGGCCAGTGTGGCTCAGTGGTCGAGTGTTGACCTATGAACCAGAAGGTCATGGTTCAATTCCCATCAGGGCACAGGCCCGGGTTGGGGGCTCCATCCCCAGTGCGGGGTGTGCGGGAGGCAGCCGATCAGTGAGGTTCTTTCTCATTCATGTTTCTCTCTCCCTCTCTCCCACTTTCTTCCTCTCAGAGATAAAATTTTAAAAATTAAGAAAAAACAAAAAACGTGCTCTTTCGCCTGCTTATTATTACTTTTCGGAGGTGACATTTCTGTCCAGGTCCCTAAAAACAGTGCCCGCTTCCTCCTGTGTTGGCGCGCCTGCCCAGGAGGCCACCAGAGGGCGCACTGCAGTCACCGAGCGCTGAGGGCAGGTGAGGGCAGCTGTGGGCAGGAGCCATTTCATCCTTGGGGTCGGGGAGGGAAGGGACCCGAGCCGCAGAGGGATGGGCATGTGGGACCTCTAACTGGCTGGTTTGTAAAGGTTCCTCTGACTCCCCCGCCCCGTCCCCCGGCCTCCAGCTTCTTCCCCAGGAATCACCCCAAGAGGCTGACCTCCCCAGGAGGTGACGCCAGACACACCCTGCTGACCCTGTGTCCCCCCACCTCCCCCGCCCCCGGGGCCGCCCTTACCTGGAACTGGGCTGCACTGCACACGGGGGTGTGGCTTCGTGTCCTCCATCTCGTCCAGGTCCAGGTCATCTGGGGGGAGACCAGACAGTGGCTCAGGGCCTGGGCTCGCAAGGCCCAGCCCTGTGCCCAGCACAGGTCCGTCCAGGGGCCCTGGACAGGATGGCTGCCCCTGGGCGCGAACCCTGGATGGGACCCGTGTGTGGGTTATCCGCGTGGTTGGCTCTTGACAGGGACCTTGCTCTTGCTGCAATTCAGCTGTGTGCTCCCCAGGTGGCCGGGGCCCCCAGATGCTGCCTGGAGGTAGGGGAGGGGCCTCCTTGAGGGTGGGAGCTGGTCACCACGGAGCCAGCCCAGCACGGCCACTCCCTGTCCAGCAGGAACACTGGACGTGAAGAAGGACATCTCCCTAAGACAGAGAAGTGAGGCCGGCTGGCGTGGCTCAGTGGTTGAGCCTATGAACCAGTTTGATTCCAGGACAGGGCACAGGCCTGGGTTGTGGGCTCGATCCCCAGCGTGGGGTGTGCAGGAGGCAGCCGACCCATGATGCTCTCTCGTCATGGATGTTTCTGTCTCCTTCTCCCTGCCTCTCTGTAATCAATAAAAATAGATTTTTAAAAACAGAGGAGTGAGCTTGAGCGTGTTCTGAGGAAGTGACCCAGACCAGGAGCCTGCAACCAAGTAGGTGCCCTTGATGGGAATCGAACCCAGGACCCTTCAGTCCATAGGCTGATGCCCTACCCATTGAGCCAAACTGGTCAGGGCAGGTCTAGTTCACCTTTAACCATCCTTCCACTTCTACATCTGTCTGTTAGAGACCATAGGAATAGAAAGGTAAATTCATTGTTAAAGAAATCCTCTAACAGGTTTGAAACGAATGGATTTTTTTTTCTTATTCGCTGTTACAATTTTCTTAACCCGGCCACAAACTCTATAGGAATTTTGAAATGAGGATCTAAAACACTTTATAACCTACGCAGCCAAAACTCCTGCACATGGTACAGGTGACAGCCAGCGTCTACCGGGGACGGACAGGTGGCTCTGCCTGTCCCACGTGTCCCTGCGTGTGTTTCCTGTGAGATCTTTCCTCCCCACCTCAAGGGCAAACACCTCCCCTGGGAGAGTTCCCAGGAGGCAGGCAGCCCTGGCCCAGACCCCAAGGGCGGAGGCTGCCGTGTGCCCGCACCCTGGCATTTCCTTCTCTCTCCACCTCTCCTCCCGCCCGCCCGCCTGCCGCGCTCTCCGGGATGGAGCTCGGCCACACGTTGAGATGAAAACGCATGAATGAAATACAAGGGCCCAAGCCCAGGGAGTCTGAGGCCGGGAACGTCCCCGCCAAGGTGTTGAGCAACCGCTCTGCAAACTCAGAGGAAATGGAGGTGGAAAGGGAGGCTGGCTGAGGCGGCAGCCCTGGCGTTGGCTCCCACAGGAAGCGGGCCAGCCCAGCTCCTGGTACCTGCAGGCGGCCCACATCCGACGCCCTGCGGTTCCCCCAGACTGAGGCCTGGCGGAAAGATTCACCTTGAGCAAGGAAAGTTTCCATCCCTCCTTCCAGCCCCCGAGGGAGTGTACCGAGGCAGACATCCGTCCGGGACGTCTAGGGGAGCCGGGTGCCTGCGGGGCCAGCAATGGCTGGGCTTCTCCTCCCAGGGAACGCGCTCGCCCTCCTGGGGAGAGCCTTGGGCACGTGGGGGGGCTCCCGGAGACCCCAGGGGCCTGCCCAACACTGGCCTCCACACACTGTGTCCTGTGTGCCCCTCGCACTCACAGTGGCTCTCGGCTTGTCCGGCAAGAAGGCCCAGCGGCCCCTTGGGCGTCTCCTCATCCTCGAGGTGAAGGACGTCCGCTCCCCACTGCCCGGCGGCCTTGAAGAAGCCGGCACAGACGCCGTAGGCACAGCACTGGTAGGCATAGGGCACCTCCAGGATCCTGGGGGCACGGGAGGGACACGGAGCTGCCTCAGGAACAGGGTCTCAGCCCAGGCACCAGCACCCCAAGTCTGCGCTTCGACCCCAAAGCACCCGGGTGCCGGTGCAGGCGGCCTCCGGGCTTTCCGGGAGGGTCTGCAGCCTGGCTCCCACCTCGGAAGGGCTCTGAGCACATTCCAGGCTGCTCCTCATTCACCTTGAGAATGACCTTCCGCCCTCAGAGGGGAGCGGCGCACCCAAGCACCCTGGTCCCCTCCCAGCCAGCACCTCACACACCCACTCAGTCTCGGCCACAGAGCTCCTCCTGGGGCCTCCTCCGGCCCCTCCAGGGCCTCCTGGCAGCCCTGGGTGGGTCGAACCCCTCTCGATGTGCGGGGAAGGGGATGGGGGGCAGGGAGCCAGGTCTCACCTCAGCTTTGGGAAACTGTCCTTCGAGAAGGCCTGTGACAGAGCGGGGTTCCCTTTGAGCTTGAGATGCTTCAGGCCCCCGAGCCCGGCCAGGGGCAGCGTGGTCAGCTGGTTGTCCGTCAGGTCCCTAGGACAGTGGACGGGAGGGGGGCAGGGTCGGGGGCTGCACAGGGGCTGGGCAGGGGTGGGGCGGGCCTGAGGCTGCCAAAATGCTGCAGAGCATCCCCAGGTGCCCTCCAGAGCCTGCGGGACCAGCGCTCTGTCCAAGCGGACTGTCCGTCAGGGTGATTGATGAGGCTGGAGCCTGTGCCCCCGGGATGTGTGGTCACGCATCCATGCAGGTCCCCACTCGGGGGGGGGGCTGCGGTCCCCTCTGGCCTGCAGCACTCTGAGGGGGACGCAGTGGCACTCACAGCTTGACCAGCGAGCGCAGTGTGGCGAAGGCCTCGGGGTGGATGGACCGGATGGCGTTCCAGCTCAGGTCCCTACAGGCAGAGAGAGTGTGATCAGAGGGGACAGGCACAGGGGGGAACTCCCGGTTCTCCCGCACTCACCCCCTGTCTGACCCCCCCGGAGGGGAAGGTAGCTTTAGCCTGGCTCTCACCTGCCTGTGGCCCCAGGAAAGGGCATGGGGCTGCCTGGCTTCAGAGCCTCATGGCCCCCCGGGGACTCCCTGGACATGTGGCAGGGAGCTCAGCTGCCCCCCCAGGCCCTCCACGCCCTCCCCCCCATGAGCTACCGGTACTCACAGGGCCCGCAGGGAGCTCAGCTGGCTGAAGGTGTCGGCTCTGACTTCCCAGATGCGGTTGTGCTGGAGGCCTCTAGGGCAGCAAGGCAGGCCGAGTGACCAGTGCGCTCAGACCCTGAATCCACTCCACACCCCGCCCCCCACCTTCCCGTGCTCCAGGCAGAAGAGAGGAGAGCCCCAGGCCCCCACTTCTCCTGGCTGGGGAAGAGAGGGCCCGCCCTCGGAAGTCGCCAGCATGAAAGGGATCCAGTTGCCTCGGGTAAGTGGGTCAGCGGACAAAGCCACACAACACGGTCCCTGTGGCCCGAAAGGGAGTCAGTCTCCAGGGTTCCCAGCGGGCGCGGCTCCCCGCCCAGCGGACCTCGCCCTGTGGGTCCTCCAGACCCTGGTCCAGCACCAGAGCTCCGCCCAGCCCTCGGGCGGCTGTGACCGGCCCCAGCCGGGCAGTGGCTCAGGGGACTGGCTGTCTGAAGGGAGGCACTCGGGGACTGGGGGACTCCGGGCCTCTGCTCTGCAGGCCCTCCTCCTTGGGCACCTAGACCAGTGGTCGGCAAACCGCGGCTCACGAGCCACATGCGGCTCTTTGGCCCCGTGGCATGGGCCACGAAGTTTCAATCGCACTGTATGTGCGCGCCCGCACGTGGTATTTTGTGGAAGAGCCACACTCAAGGGGCCAGTTTGCTGACCACTGACCTAGACAAATGGGGCAGACCCTGACACCCCCTACCTGGGCCCCAAAGGCATCGGTCGCCCCGCTGAGCGGTGGGGACAAGCAGGAGGCTCAGGTCTCCTCCCGTGGGCGTGAGGGTGTGAGTGTGCACGGGCACACGTATGCACACGTGAGTGTTTGGAAAACGACCGACTGTGCTCCGAGAGGCGGGCTCTCCGGTCCCCTGACGCTTCCCTTGTCCAGCCCGACGCGGCCCTGGCCCCATCACCACCACGAGGCCATGGTGCTGCCCTTGACCCGCAAGGAGACTCCTTCAGGCACCGGCTCCTGGGCCCGCCCTCTGCTCCCAGCCCTCACCCCTGGGTTCCACGCCCGCAGAGAAGGGTCAGCGTGCAGAGCCCTCCCCACAGGCCGGCCGGATTCGGCTCACGTGCCTTCGTCCCCCACCCCCACCCCACCCCCGACCCCACTCACATCTCCTCCAGCTTCTGACACCTGTGCAGGCTGGGCAGCTCCTCAATCCGGTTATGAGACAGTTCCCTGCGGGGAGAGGCCAGGGCCAGGGTCACGTCGGGCCCGGGGAGCCGCTCTGGCCAGGGCCCCACTTCCCCGTCAGGCGGCCGAGACCGGTGGACCCTGCCAGGACGTGGCTGCGGATACACGTCACACCAGAGCCCCGTCCTCAATCGACTCCTCTGCATCCCTTGCTGAGCCCCACTTTTCCCAGCAGAGAGAGAGGGCAGAGAGGGGGTGCACGGGATGGGTGGACCACAAATGACCCAGCCAGCTGGTCAGTGCCAACCTGCTGTCACCGTACGTGTGGATGACAGAGCCAGTGTCCTTATGGACTATCTGACCCCTTTACCTTATTCAGGAGGAAACTGAGGCACAGATGTGGGGAGGAACACTGGTCCCCATAAGTACCGCCATGGTTCCAGAAGGGGTGTCTTGTGTGAACAAGAGTAATAAAGCCCTATATTGAGCTCCTACTATGTGCTGTATTGAACACCTACATGTGCTAGATTGAGCACCTACTATGTGCTGTATTGAGCACCTATGTGGCCTGTATGAGCACCTACCATGTCTAGATTGAGCGCCTACCATGTGGCCTGTATTGAGCACCTACTATGTGCCAGGTGCTTTACACATGTTTTTCCAACCCCCACAACTGTAACCACATCCTGCGGATGAGGAAAGTGAAGCTCTGAGAGATGGTTGGTGGCAGAGCTGGGGTCACACCCAGGCCTGGCCCCAAGACTGCTGTCTTCTGCCCTGAACAGGAGAGGATAGCCCCGTCCCTCTCAGGCCTCTCTCAGCAGCAGCAGGGAGCGAGGTGACCGAGTGGGACAAAGCAGGAGGGGCCTCTGCAGCCCACGGGACCCAGGGCGCCAGGCGGGGCCGTGGGGAGCGTGTGGGCCACTCACAGGACGCGGAGCCTGGGCAGCTGCTGGCACATCCCAGGCGGGAGCCGCCGGATGCCTGCGCGGGTCAGGGTCCTGCAGGGGAGCAGAGACGGAGCAGGTAGAAAACAGACACCAGTCACCCCCCAGCCCGTGCCTCAGGGGAGGTGGGGGAGGGAGGATGGGAAAGAAGGGGGGCAGGGGCTGCTGGCGGTGGTCGGTCGGGGGAAGGAGCGGGGAGGAGGCACAGGCAAGAGAACCACTCACAGGGTCTCCAGGCTCGTGGTGCCTTTGAGGTCTGGGAACTCCTGAATGTCTGTGGCTCCATTCAGGGACCTGGAAGCAGAGCCAGCAGCTCTGAGGATGGAGCCAGAGCATGTCCACATCACGCCCAGCCCCCGCGTCTCCCCACAGGCTCCTGCTCTCCCCCAACACCCCTCCATCGGCCCAGCTCCCTGGTGGAGGCCAGACATGGCCGAGCAGGGTCCACGCAGCCATGACGCCCAGATGGAGCCGGCAACCTCAGCATCTGGGAGCCAGCATGCCAAACACAGGCCAGCCCGGCTGGTGTGGCTCAGTGGTTGAGCGTCGACCTATGAACCAAGAGGTCACAGTTCGATTCCCAGTCAGGGCACATGCCCGGGTTTTCGGGCTCAACCCCCAGTGTGGGGCGTGCAGGAGGCAGCCGGTCCATGATCCGCTCTCATTATGGATGTTTCTATCTCTCCCTCCTACTCCCTTCCTCTCTGAAATCAATAAAAAATATATATATAGAAAACAAAAGAGGCCAGTCCAGGTCCCTGGCTGTGGAGAGGGCCCTGTTCGCCCGTTCAGGATCCGGGAAGAAGCCGGGAGAGGGGGAGGGAGGCTGTTGGTGCCCCCGAGGCCTGAGCCTGGCGGGGGGTGGGAAGGGCGCGGGGCGGGGACCGAGGAAAGGGGGCCCACATACAGCGTGTGCAGCTTCGGCAGGTCCTGGAACGCGGACCTCCCCACGGACTGGATTGGGTTGTCGTAAAAGTGTCTAGAAAAGACCCCAGCACGGAATTCATTCAGCCAGGACCGCGGCGGGTCTCTGCTTTCTTCTCCCCATGGAGCCCCGGCGAGAGCATCCGGGGGGTCAGGTCAGGCACCCCCCTCCCCATTGTCCCGCTTCCCCAGCCCCCCCAGCCCCCCGACACCCAAGAAGTCGGGACTCACATGGTCTGCAGCAGGGGGTTCCCCATGAAGGCCTTCTCTGGGATGGCCTTGATGTTGTTGTTATGGAAACCGCTGCAAGAGAAGCCAGTCAGTGAGGACACGAGAACACGGGGGACGCCATGCAGCTTTCGGATGGGGACGGAGACACGGGCCAGAACAGCAAAGGGGCGTGCAGGAGGCAGCCCATCGGTGTGTCTCTCACATCAGTGTTTCTCTCTCTCTGACTCTCCTCCTCTCTTCCACTCTCTCTACTCATCAACGGGGAAATATCCTCAAGTGAAGATTAACAACAACAACCAAAGGTGCTGCCCACAGTTCGGGGCTCTGCTCCTGAACCTCGGGGCCCGCCGGCGGGTCACATTCACTCCTGCTGGGCCCTCTCTCTGCCCGGGGGTCAGTTTCCTGTCCGTGCTCCTGACCAGGACACGGCGCGGAGGTACTCACAGCTCCTGCAGCCGGCCCAGGGTCCGGATGGCCACCGGGAACTCCCGCAGGTCGTTGTGGTTCAGGTCCCTGGAAGGGAGCAGGGCTGGGGTCAGGGGCGCTGGCGGGCAGGCAGGCCAGGCCTGAGCAACACGCGTGGCTCCGGGGGTGGGATCCAGGGGTCAATGCTGGGGAGGTTCCCGGACGACAGGCCGGGAGAGCTGACCACACCGGCCAGCCCGCATTATCTTAACTCCGGAGACTCCCATCGGCCGGGCCTCAGAGCCCGGGAGAGAGAGAGACAGGAACATCAGTGATGAGAGAGTCATGGGCCGGCTGCCTCCTGCACGCCCCTTACTGGGGATTGGGCCACCACCCAGGCAGGCGCCCTTGACCAGAGTCAAATCTGGGACCCTTGTATCTGCAGGCCGACGCTCTATCCACTGACCCACACCGGCTAGGGCTAGCAGGCTGTTTTTCAGTGGATCGTTTCCTATGGCCCGTGAATGAGGTTATAAATATCTAAATGGCCTTGGGCAGGAGAAAGGGTCCCTACCCCTGTGTGTGTGTGTGTGTGTGTGTGTGTGGTGAAGACCCGAGAGGCTTGAGTGACGACGTAGCGTGTGCCCTGCATGTGCACAGTCTGCTGCGTGACCACGCGTGTGCCTGCCCGCACCTGGCCCCTCCTCTGCAGGTCACTCCCCTCCAAAGAGGAGCCAGACGGCGGGGGGTGGGGGCGGCGGGGGTTAGGCCCTCCCTCCAGGGAGACGAGAGAGGCCCAAGTGGCCCGAGGGAGAGACACGCTGCCAGCACGCAGCTCACATGGAAAACTCGACAGGAATCACCCGGCTGCAGAGCGCGCCAATTACACAACAATTAACAGGTCGGACGCCCGCTTTCATTCCCCGCCTGCCCCGCCCCGCCCTCCCCATCTGGCCGCCCCTGCAGGCTCCCAGCGAGTGCTCCGCTCTGGGGACAGGACGGGGTGCAAAGAACGCACGTGCCCCTTTTTAATTGGAGATCAAAAGCTGGAAGGAGAACAGATCCCTGGAGGAAGGGAAAAGGGGTGCGACTGAGACAGCCGGCCAAGGAGGGGCTGGGAGAGAGGGGAGAGGCTGGGAGGGAGGAGGGGTGCAGGGCAAGGTCCCACACAGCTCTCATGGGGTGAGCCACCTCTGGTAAGGCTAGCATTATGTCTTTTTTTTTAATGCCTTTTTTTATTGATGTCAGAGAAGAAGGGAGAGGGAGAGAGAGAGAAACATCCATGATGAGAGAGAATCATGGATCGGCCGCCTCCTGCACGCCCCACACTGGGGATCGAGCCTGCACTCCAGGCATGTGCCCTTGGCCGGGAATCAAACCCAGGACCCTTCAGTCCGCAGGCCGATGCTCCATCCACTGAGCCACACCAGCTAGGGCAGCGCTATTCCCAGAACCTGCAGACTCACAGGACGTGACCAAGGTCACAGGGTGGCAGCAGAGAGAGCTGCCTTCGCCCTCCAGCTGTCGGATGGACGCTCTGTCCTGGCCCAGCTGCCTCTACGTTGTCGACGGGCGGGGGGTGGAGAGACTTTTCTCGCCCCTTATCTTGGCCTCCCGGCCTGTAAGCGGGCGCAGGCTTCGTGGGCACCCCCGCACCCTGCACATCAAAGGCAGGTGGGTGGCTCTATAGCGAAGCCAGCGCCCACCTCGCCGCGTGCCCTGCGCAGCCTGCCGGTGGCTTTTTGAGAGAGAAGCGGGCAGCGTGCCCTGAAGTGAGGCAATGGCTGCTGGCTGGC